AATGGTTGTTAATGTTTTTGTTGTTCTTTCTATTTGTCACATGTTTAATTTGAATTGTATGTAAATAAAGGTTAGGTGTATTTACTCTGCTTTTGTTTTATATAATTAAACCATACATCCCCTCTACAAAGTTAGTAGCCAGTGCCTTCCGGTCAATAAAAAAATGGATACACACAACGTAGGTAGTCCTTATGACGATCACACATGTTTTTGGCCACAACTACGTTTTCTTCTTTTTTGTCGAACCTAGGGTTGTTATACTTCAATAGTTTTTAAAAATTTAACAAGAGTAAAAAATTTTTAAAATTAAATTCTGCTGTGATATAATATTATTATTTTTCAATTCGGTCAATGAAAAAAAAGTTCGATACAATTTTATGAGTGAATGCGCATGTTCGGGAAGAATAGCCTCATACGCAGGTGAGATCTTTTTGATATCGCCATCATTATTTTATATATTTTTTCTCTTCCTTTGTTTAATCTTGGCATTTTCTAGTACTATCAAATATTTTTTGTTTTTCTTGGTTCTCTGCTGTGTCTGTTTATCGATTGTTTTTTTTTCTTCAAGTGGTTTATTATAGACGTACTCTTTACCAGAATCAAACTTTTCTTGAATGGTAGCCTCTTGCGAGGCTACTTTGCTTACATGAACTGTATCTTTAATACGCATGCTCAGCAACACTGATATAATTTTAATTTAGTAGTTACTATAAAAGTCAATATTGTTCCATAAATTTAAAAATATAAATTCTATAAATCTTATAGTTTGTCACTTGGGGTTTGAAAATGCTTAAACATTTCTAATATTGCCCGAATATCGCGATATTTAAGGTCATGACAAAGAAGACATTTTTTTTGGCATTTACATATGTCTAAAGTACATAAAGTCGAAAATCGATCTACTAAAAATACTGAGAATTTTTTATGACAATGTGTACTATGGAGTTGCCTATTATTTGTCGAATGTGACGTCACTACTAAAAACGTCTATTCAGACTGCTCTTCTGGCAATAGTTGATAATACATAACCCATCCAAATATTTTTTAATAAAACCGTTAAAATAAGAATTGTTTCTAGTTTGAATTCTACCAGCTCATACTTTGGGTAATGGAAGTATTAAATCTTTTTTCCATGCAAATGGAAAATAAATATGTACTTAAAATACAAGAATTAATAATATTAGTGATAGGTATAACTAACAAACTAACTACGGTTGGTTCGCACAACTCTAACATCATTGTGTTAAAATGATTACTATCAACCCTATACCTATTCACTATAGCTTGATAAATTAAAATATCAATCGATTTTATAAAAAAAAAATACTTATCAGTTTTTTCATTAAAATTAATATAAGATTATAATTATCATCATTATACCTACTTACTGGTAGGGAAAATGTAAATTTAATAAAAATTAGCCATACGAAAAAATTATAAATTTAGATAAACTTAGAATTTAGTGTGTTAAAAATGCGAATAGCGTTGTGCTTGTCAAAATTTAAGAATATTTCCTCATATGAAGATTTGCGCTTGTACCGTCTGTTGTATCAGTACAAAGAGGAATTTTTTAATTCTACGTTTATCTAAATATACGATTTTCAAGAATTTCTGATTTTTACCAAAACGGTAAAAGCCATGCAAAAAAAGTCGAAAAATAATTTTCTTTCATTTACATTTCAAAAATGGTAAAAACTCAGGAATTTTGCTTCGGGTGGACCCAGCACTGCAGCTCTACGGAGGCCTCTAAAAAAACCTCACGCAATCACCGAATTACCGATATCAGGAAGATGACAATATTTAATCTTTTTTTTTTCTGGAGTGGGCACCAGGCCTTCTGGGGTGGGTCGTGCACACCCCTGTCCCCCCTCCCCTAGCTACGCCCAAGTCAAAAATATAAATTATCCAGTAACGCAGGTACTATCATTTTGAGGAAATTGTACTCAACATACCTGCTTCATATCTGCGCCACTGCTTGAATCTAATTATTAATTTTTCCATATTGTATACCACTTTATTCATGTATTGGGCTCACAACATTTCGTTTTAATTATCTCCATTTTTTCAATAGATAATATAGAGCTGTAACATTTTTTTAAAGTTCAACACTTCATATCTCTAATGCTTCAATTTAAAAAAAAATTAAAATTTGAAAAGGAAAATACTCCACCCTTTTTGATACGTTGTAGTGTTTACACGACACGCATACAGGCCGATGCCAAAGAACGTCTCGTTAAACATACAGTATATAGACCGGAATATTTCCAAAATATAACACCGCCTAATGCGAGCAGAAAACTAAAATATTTTATAATAAAAGCCCCAGCGAAAAACAGAATTTCATTCAGCTACATCCCCTTGAAATTTCAAGCGGATGTGTCTTTCGGAGCTAACAACTTTTCTTCTCGCTCTTTCCCATTGGCATGCGTATCCGCCGTCTCGGCGCTGGCGTTCTATTTGTTTTGTAAAAAGTTTGTATTTGAAAAACAAACTAAAAACAATACCTTCGCAGCAATGTTTACAAAAGGCAGTTCCTCCGGGGCAGAACGAGAAGAAGAAGAAAAATGATGATTGGGATTCGTTCTAGACGCTCGAGAATTTGAAAATTACATTTTCAGTAGATAGGACTGCTACAGAACAGACAACTAATTTTAATACATTGAAAAAAATGTTTTTATAACGTACTTACCTAAATTTTTAACTAATGATAGGGGTGTTGTGAGGAACAACTACTCTGCTGACTAAATTTATATAATATCATTAGTTAAAAATTTTATTTTATCATTTGATTAATAAAAATATTTACATGACAAAATCGTTACATTTTCATTAGATATTATCAATTACTTGCTCAGCTTGAACTTGTGAGCAAATAGTCTCTTAAAAATTATATGCGAATTAATCAATTAGTCCAATTTATTGAGAAATTATTAGGTATACCTAGTTTTTTGGATCCGTCTAACCTTTAAAATAATATTTCTTAGACCAGTTATAGGAGGTATGTATTGTGTGTTAATTAAAATGACATGTTTTCTTTCTCTCTATAGGAAAAGCATTTTAATTTTAATTAAATAGCAATCTATAGTACGCCTATGTGGTACTACTTATCTAATTAACAGTTTTGAAGCCTCCCTCAAAACTTTTTGGGATGATTTTATTAATTGTATATATAAGATGAGAAATTTCAATAAATAACCATTTCCCAATTATTACATAGGTATATTCAGGATTCAGGAGACATAATCAAATTCAATTTTTTCACGTGGATTATTAAGGACCATTTGTCGTAAACAAGTCGGCTGAACTGAACGGATCTGCGTAAAAAATCGTGAAAACTGCTAACTTTCCAAACGCAGTCTGACTTTTACCTGCTAGCCTGCTTGAGTTCATGACAACCCGAATTTTTACTGTATTGAAAAATGCACAAGCTCCCCCGACGAGCAACATCTCCTGCTTCGACTACGGCGACGACCCGTTCCCAAACCAACCGCCCTCGCCTGGAGGGGGTAAAGTAGCCTCGTGCAACTTAAAAATGCCGCCGTGAGTAACCGAATCGATACGAGGCGCGCGAATCACGTGGTGCGTACGCCAGCCAATGGCGGCAGAAACCTCGAAGACTCCGTTCAGACATGCTGTTGCGACGGCAGTTTGAAATGAGTCGTTGTGGAGTTCGGAGTGTACTAGTCTCGCACGCGTAAAGCACGTAATGTGCTAATTGTGGTTTCAACTATGATGGAGGACCCGACCCAAGTGCTGTTCACAGAGTTGCCGGTGCCGCTGCTGTCTACCGCGGCTCTCCTCCGGCACCATCACCACCCCGCCACCCGGTTCCAGCCCTACCACCGACTGCACCAGCCGCAGCACTTCCACACCGCCATCCATGAGCTGCACTCACTACAGAGGGCCTACGAGGAGGAAGAAACGAACGAACAAGACTTGGGAAAGACCCACATCTCATGCTTATACCCGGAGATCCTAGCCATCATCTTCAGCTACCTGGATGTGCGGGATAAAGGCCGCGTGGCCCAGGTGTGTACCACATGGCGAGACGCCTCCTACCACAAGTCCGTTTGGCGCGGCGTCGAGGCTAAACTGCATCTGCGGCGGGCCAACCCTTCGCTGTTCGCATCGTTGGTGAAGCGTGGCATCAAGCGGGTACAGGTGCTTTCTCTGCGGCGGTCATTAAGAGACGTCATCCAGGGTATCCCCAACTTGGAGTCGCTGAACCTGAGCGGGTGTTACAACGTGGCCGACGTGGGGATCTCACACGCCTTCGTTGCCGAGGCACCCTCACTCACCCAGCTCAACCTGTCATTGTGCAAGCAGGTCACCGACACTTCCCTCAGTAGGATAGCGCAGTTCCTCAAGAACCTAGAGGTGCTGGAATTGGGGGGATGTTGCAACGTCACTAACACGGGACTAGTGTTGATCGCCTGGGGACTGAAGAAGCTGAAAAGACTGAATCTGCGGTCGTGCTGGCATGTTAGCGACCAAGGCATAGGGCACCTCGCGATAGGCAACCAATCCTTGGAATACCTCGGGCTGCAGGACTGCCAGAGGCTTTCGGATGAAGCTTTAAAGCACGCCACGGGTCTCACCTCCTTGAAATCTATAAACCTTAGTTTCTGTATTAGCATAACGGACAGTGGACTGAAGCACTTAGCGAAAATGTCGAATTTGCGGGAATTGAACTTGCGTTCTTGTGATAACATCTCCGACATCGGCATGGCGTATCTTGCCGAAGGAGGCTCCAGGATATCATCTTTGGACGTGTCCTTCTGCGATAAAATCGGCGACCAGGCCTTAGTGCATATCTCCCAAGGACTGTTTAACCTAAAAAGCTTATCTTTAAGTGCGTGTCAGATCTCCGACGAAGGCCTCTCCAAGATAGCTAACACCCTGCATGACTTGGAAACCCTTAACATAGGACAGTGCAGCAGGGTGACAGACAAAGGTTTGACGACTATCGCGGAAGCTCTTACGAGGCTGAAGTGCATAGACTTGTACGGATGCACTAGGATCACCACCGTCGGCTTGGAGAAGATCATGAAGTTGCCCCAGCTGAGCGTACTGAACCTCGGACTGTGGCATGTCAGGTGAAACGTGTTTGTTTTAAATAGGGATTTTTGCTATGTACCCGCCAGAAATTGCATTTTTGCCTATGAATTTTCATTGTACGGGGCGATCCTGAACCCAAAACCTGCAGTGGATTTTCTTTGTTGATCTTTTTTTTATTTCGTTGCTTCTGGACTCGAAAATGCGCCAACTTATCAACTAGGTATGTAGATACTTATTTTTGTTTAACCAACGAATACATGTACATGTACAAGATTATATTTATTCTTTTATCTCAACAGTAGTCAAATTAATTTTTTTTTAATTTCATTGTTATCACTTAATATTTTAATTTATTAATTTTAATATCAGAATTTGATCCAAATAATAGAAAAAAAATTGAAAAAGAATATTGCTGCCTTAAAACACTAGTAGGTGGGTACCTGCACTACCTGCGGACATTCAGAATAGGTACAGTCTCTGTAAAATGTATAAATTGTAAGTATAATTTGGAAATATGCTTATTTTTTCAAATTAATGACCTATGTCTTACTAATTATATATCGTTTTAGCCAATTAGAAACAAACTGATAAATATGCAAATGATGAAAACATACCTACACTACAGTTTTTAATCATAATCATACGTTTAAATTTTAATTAATATCCGTTCCATTTAGGAATCAGATCATGCGAGTCAGCAATTTTATTTTTCATATTTTGTGTGATTTTTAAATAATCAAAAGAATTGATAAGCATCAACAAACGAATCCACAGCAACCCCGATTGAAAATTCAGTCTTCACTTTCTGGGATCGCGTCGTGCAATGACGAGCTATTTATAGAACCTCATTGTTGTTTTATCTATTGTGCAAAATGTCACTAGATTTACATTCCGAAATTCTTACGGCAGACATGGATTTCTAACGGATGCGCGCTGAACTGTGATAGATTCAAAACGAATGACGTAATCGTTCGAGGAAAGTGAGCACTTGCAGGTTATGATGTTTCAATCGTTTTTTAATTGTTCCCACGGAATTGCGTCTCTTCTGGAACGTCACAGCATCAAGGCTCGATATCGAAATGAATATGGCAGGTGCCCAACGTCAAGTTTTAAATTTTATAAGTAGTAGAGACAATTCAGAGCAGTCGTCTTATCGCTTATGATGAGGCTTGTAAAGATTATTCTATTTAGAATGGTACGCAATAACTTCAGATCTATAGATAATGCGTTTATAAATACTTATAAGGGGTCAAAGTTGTCGAAACCTCGATCTTATAATTCTCGTACATAACACAATTTCCTAAAATTTTACAGTAGAAAGTTGGATTGAGTAACGGCTAAAAATGTGAAAATACGGTCTGTGGACCGATTTCTACATTTTTTTGCGCAAAAAGCGAATCGAATCGGTTTTTTTCCTGGCGTCTTCAGACTTTGGAAACCGGTCCATGGTTTTACGGTTTGTAAAGTTAAAAATTGCATTTCGGTTATGTAACCGAACGAAAATGACAAAGGAAAACAGATTTCTTGTTGGTATTCAAGAAATTAGATTCGGCGATCGGTTTTTTTCTATTTCAACATCATTAAATTGCCATTCTAAATTATTTAACGAGATAGAACCCTTTTTATTATATTCTACTGCTAGTTAAAACAAATAGGAATTATAAGAAATTGAGTGAAACGCTTTATTTTTTATTGTTTTTTTTTTCAAAATCTAAATAGTTAATATTACTTTTGCAACTTGTACCTAATAATAGGTAAGTCTGCCGCCATTTTGAAACCATTTATTTTGGAAGAATAACGAATCTGTTTTAAATAAAAATAGAAAAGATTATTTTTTCAGTAAATAAACCAACTCCGCATATGTAAATAAATTATGTATACCATTACCTCCCTTGTTTAAAATTTTTCATGATCAATTCTAAGAATTTACAGTATATTTTAGGAAACAATTGTTTCCAGATTAACATTTTTTCAAAATCAAACAAAAACTTCATAAAACTGTCATATTTTGATTCTTATTTATGATCTGACGTAGTTATAAGTACATTTTTTAACGGGAAAACATATCTACCTTTTATTAATTTTTGAGCATTTAATTCTAGATAATGTTTTATTTAAATAATGTAGGTATATCCATATTTTGTTTAACAAGAATATCCAAAAGCCTGTAGATATACCTACTTAAAACAATTAGGTATTGTAAGAATACCTACCAGGATCACATTGAAAAAGATTTAAGCTTATAAAATAAGTATTACCTGAGAATTTAATTATTTGAATATTTTTCAAATGCCAGAATTTATAATTTTGACAAATATGCAAAAATAATGGGGTGCCTACTTTCAAAGTTGGTATTCTGATATAAATAGGTAAATGATGTAAGATACCTAGGTATGGTTACATAATATGATACGTAGGCGTAAGCAAAACATGGTTTGAAATTAGATCTCCGCGTCTCCATGATAAGTAATTCTCCGTTTTTTCCCAGTTTTTTCTTGCAAATATGGGTAATAATATCTACCTAATAGAAATTTTTAAAGGGAAATTGAATATAAAATGCAGGGAAATCTGTAATTTTTTGCTAAAAAACTTACATAAAATTTAAATGTAACGATCTCTGAACCCCTCACGTGAAATTTAAAAGTAAAAAATATACTTTTTACACAATTTCAAGAGTTAGTGTCGCTGTTAGTTCTTCACACAACCCGTATTTATTACTAATACGATTCAAACTGTTAGCAAGGTAATTTGACAGCGATTATGTATTAGTATTATTATTGGTTTTATAAGTTACGCTGCCATCTAGTTCTACTTTTAATTAATAATTAACTTTGATCATTCCGAGCCACGGAGTGCAAAAATAGGCATATATACCAATCTCGGTAGTTAAGTGCCCGTTAATGATTTTAAAGATGGACATTAGTTCATTGGTATACAGGGTATGCCACTTAACATTCCCGCTACGTTTACTTAAAATTTAAACGACGTATTTTATATCGCTATTAACAATAAGCGGAGGACAGTAAAAGGTTTAATTTGACAGAAAAATATTTTCTTTTTCTTTATTTGCAGCTGTATAGAAACATCGTTTCTATTTGCTTGCCCCGTAAATTTAACTGTTTGTCAGATATTTGCAAGTTTTTTATCGCTTTTGACCGCTCTTTTAATAATTTTTTAAAATACAAGTTTTTGACACCTAGATTTGTATTTTAATCATTTTACACGGTTAGATGGACATTATTAATCAGTTAAAAGGCATTAACTAAATGCCATACACCTTCCAGTTGAACCAGAAGTTTGTTAAATTCTGCGATAATATATTAAATAATAATTACCAAGTGTAATCCACTTTAGTTTAGGAAAAATGAAATGAAACAAAAAATAAAAAAATGGTTTAGCTCATGATATTTACTTGAAATGACATTTTTGACACTTCATACAATTGTTAGAGCAGTTTGGTCACAATATCTAGGGCATTTTATGTAGATACACGGAATCTAATGCACCTCCGATTAAACAGAATGGTGTGCAACAATTTGGTTAATTCTATATATCTATTCAAAATTTATATTTAAAAGTTTTACGAAGTAAGCGAATATGAAAAGAAATTTAAAATTCTGTATGATGCACCTACATTTTTTCTTTCAGGCATTTTTGCCTAACAACTTCGTCTACAAATATGAAAATAAAAAATACATTTTTATGGTAAAGTAACATATGTCTTTTAGTATCTAAATAAACGTCAGTGGAAATGTTAAGTGGCATCCTGTATAACGTGCTATTTAATATTTAGTACTAAGGGTATTTTGCATTAAGCCTAGTTCAGGTCTCAGTTCAACTTATTTCATCTGGCTGGTGAAGGTCGGATGTGTAGAGGCAAAATGGAGGAGAGACCCAATTTTGGTAAAAGTAAAGAATCCCACATCAATATTTTCAAACAAAATTTTAAAAGCTAAAAGCAAAAAGGGAATGAACAATAAAATTTTGAATAAATTAATAAGTACATGTTTATATAAATAATTGTTTTTCAATTGAAGGGAAAACCGCAAAAGTAATTCGGTGTAAAAGCTCAAGTAATATTTGAGTAATATTCTGTTTTAATGCATAATATATCAAGGGTCTTAGCATTTTCGTTTTCTCTCCCGATTGTACTTTAATTCCCACCACTACATCCTCTAACTTTTTATATGCAGTGAGTGCTCTCTTTTTGCGCATTCCACCGGCCAGAGATTGATTGTACATACTTTTGCCGGCAAAAGTACTAAAAACATTTGTCTTATACAATGCATCTCTGAGATTTTTTGTTTGCCATCCAGGATGAAAAACAAAAGTTTTAAACACAAATATTTGGCCATGCCCACAAACGTCTAGTGTGAGCAGGTTTGTTCACAAATAGGAGCAAATAAAAAGTATTGCAATTCTAATTTTTGTATTTTGTATGGACATAAATGTACCGATAGGTTGAAAGTATATATCGTTTTAAATTACAGGAATTTTTAACCGAACGTAAAACAATTTCATATGATTTACCTGAACGGTACAATTAAAAGGTATACAAACGGAAAATTTAACAAAACAAAGTTATCGTAGTTAACATAAAGCCAATGGAAGGAACGTTACTAACCTACATATTTAATTACTTTGGTTTTATTTGCGGCCAAAGTTTTTGTTTTTGCCTCGGGCGCTTGTATAAAAACATATGTTTGTGAAAATTGTTTATAGATCTGAACTAGGCTTCGGGCAAAAATCCTAGAAAATCCAGGAATTTAGATTCCGGCAATAACTAATAACCTCCGTGGCAAAATTCTGTGTACGCCACTAATAGCTTTAGGCATTGGCATTATTTCCAGAAAAGACCGTTCCGTGGAGACAGTTACAATTCAGTAAAAATAACCTAGAGGACACTAATCGACCTAAACAAATGACCAAAGGTAAATCACGCACGGATATTCCATACTTTCGAGTTATGGCCATTAATTTGTTTTTGGAAATTTTAAAATTTCGACTAGTAACCACCATCATCGAATTGTAGCCGAAACGGTTCTAAGACATGTTCAAACTGTTAAGGATCGACTTTTGATATAATTTATTTGTATCATGTGATAACGCGTTTAACAATCATTTTGTGGACATTCGTTTACATCAAAAATGTGTTATTTTATTCTGATTTGTTACGGGATGGTCGTTCACAGTGTACTACTCGATTCTGATGCAGCATTTTATAATTATATTCAATCAGTACAGTTTAAGCTGTTCCTAGCACTAACGTGGCAATTAATTTTTATCTAATAGTGAGAAATGTGTGCTGAAAATGTTTTATTTTTCATTATCGTTAAAGTATTTTTATATTGATTAATATCAGTAGCATGGTAAAAATGCATTTTTAGTACAATTAAAGTAAAGAATATGTATATGTAAATAAATGTAAATATTTATATTTGTTAATTGAAAGGTTCAATACGAATATGCAGTCTCAAAGTAGCTATTACTTGTATTTTCTTTTGCAGTACTTGAACAAATTCGATTAAATATTTTCTGAAACATAATTTAATAATCAAAATATGTATACATATAAAGAAAACCGTCAGCGACTGCAAATTTTAACCAAAACCAAAAGAATTATTTAATATTAGTCTTTTAAATTTTAATTACCTTTTTTTTAAATACCCCAATGTAAATATCTACACAACATTTTTTTGTGGCTTCCTGTAAACATTATTCTTTGTTAAAAAATTTTAAAATGTAACAATTGTCTGTTTATGAGTTTTGTTGGGGTTTTTATCTTTGTTTATGTTAAATTATTGGCGTCGCTTATATGTATATTTCATATATATCATTATGAAGAACATTACAAATTATTGACATTTTTTTTTAAATATACATTATTTACAGAACAGTTAAGATAATAAAATTTCTTATCTAATGTTTTAATAGATAAATCACTTTTATTATTTTGATATTAAAATAAAATGCTTTGGGATCGAGAAGGCCACTTAAATTGTCCACCCCATTTTTCCTTGTTCCATGTTAATTTTTTTGTTGACAATTGCGTTGAAACCAACGAACTTAGCAATTATTTGGCTTTAACGATAGGTAAACGAATTTACCTAGTTTTTGGTTCTCTGTTATTTTTTATGGGCCATATAGTAGGTATGTTACTATTTTCCTTGAAGGTGCAAAAATTTCTGAAATATGATTTGTGTATATAATTGTACAGTGATACTATAATACTGTAAATAAACGTAAAGGTTATCAATATTTGTTACTATTACGTTATGTTTTTATAAATTGAACAAATTTAAACAATAAAATTTTTATCGATTCTTATGTGGTTTTATTGCTATCTCCATTCGACTATTACATATGAAATTTAATGGAGCCACAAAAAATGCTTTTGAATAATAATAAATTAATTAAATCGAAAGCACCGAAAATGTAATATTAATGTTAAAATTCCTCTGAAACGTTTGGATAAATAACAATTTTTTACATACGGGGTGTATTTGAAACATGCAGATATAGGTATTTCAGGAAATGATTCCTTGGATCATTTTAAAACGGAAACCTACGAACCTATATCCTAAACAGCTTAAGGAAAGTCTGCCGTAAAATTAATAAACTTGAGCTATTGCAAGAGTAAACGTAAAAAATCACTTAATTTGTAAAAAAAATATATATCAACCAGCAGTGGAGACTGTAGAACCCCAGAAATTTTACAACATGTTTTCTCGGATAAGCGGATTTGATTGCTAATTTATTTACAACGACCAAAAAATAATTCTACCATAATGATATTTTTTACTTTTGATAATCAAATCACAATGTGTTTAAAATTTTTTATTTTTACCGAACAATTCATATACATAGATCTTTTATTTGAAAGAAGTAGTTTTAGAGTTACTATCGATACATTTATTCAATTGCGTGGTAAGAATACTTTAGAATTAAAAAATAGTCGAATAAAATGGAAATGGTGTTTTTTGTCTGAAATACAGTAAACAGTCTAATGCACTGATCGACTTTCTAAAATAACCAGTGGCGTCGAAATTCTGGTATTCTAGTGGCAGTTTCTCCTATTATCTCCACCACTACTTGACATAAATATACGTAAATAAATTTAATAGCTTTTTAATATACGAGACTGAAAAAAATTAAAGAAACAAGAATACATATTGCAAAAATTTTTGTAATTTTTGAAAGGCCGTAACCCAGTGAAAAGTCGTCCTGTCGAGATAAAAAAAAAAGTTTTGAAGCTGTAAATCTCGTTTCAAGAACTTTTGACAAAAAAAAAAATTTGAGCTATGATTATAGAGGAATCGAAAGAAATGCCTCGAAAAAAAAATTTTAACATACCATAATTATACTAATCTTTATTTAATTGCATTAAATGCAAAGTTGATACCTCAAGCTGAATTTTGTACTTAGATTGATTTCATTTTTTAAAACTAGTAGGTACTTTTTTTGTTTGGAAAAAAAAAGTTTTGTAAACGACTTTTTTGTGTCGGAAACGATAAGATATTTTTCTCAAGTGTCTAGCACCTTTTCCAAAGGAAAAAAAATATTTTTTTAATTTAGTATTTCATTGATAATGATTATAAAGGTGTTTCTTTAATTATTTCCGAAGCTTTCTAAAAAACCGTAGGTAGCCATTTTTTTGGACTTTTTTAAATTAATATCGAGTGTGAAAAAATAAAAATTGTTAGGTCCTTATAGAGAAATTATTCAAGTTTTCAAAACCTCCCTTGCATTTACTACCTATGTAATTTGTTGCTTATATATCTATGATTAAAGACAAAAGAGCCATTTTTCATTGAACTATCAACCATCAACACAAAAAAATCTTATTTATTATGCGTAACAAAGGATATTCACACGGTGTCTGGAGTTAAAGTTGTAATAATTAATAACAATTGGAATCATAGATACATACATACACAACTCTTTTTAATTTGCTTAAAATTCACAATCACACCGATACCTACAAAAAATTCCTTATACCGGATGTTTTTAAAATGAATAATAAACTCTAACTTTTACATAGATTGTCCGATTGATATCGAAAATGACATGCAGGAGTAAAATACATAATTATATCACAGACAAAATAGCTTAGCGATACGCTATATTGTCTGTTATTATCGACCAATTGGGTTGTTGTCAGATTGTCACTTTTTCAGATATAACAGGAACTTGATACAAGGTTTGATGGGTATAACCGAGGGTATATCTCTAAGGGCCGTGTGTGCCATGCTATTAAAAGAATAAATTTTAGAGTACTATTGTTAAATGT